ATTTGGAGGAAGTTGGAAAGTCAGTTTATGTCCAAATCCTTAACGACAAAACTGTATCTGAAGCAGCGGCTGTATGGGCTGAAGATGCAGGACGATCACGATTTGGCGCAACACGTGAATGTCTTCAATCAAATCGTTTCTGATCTGGCTCGGCTTGATGTGAAAATTGAAGATGAAGACAGAGCGATGATTCTGTTGTGTTCGTTGCCTTCCTCTTACGAACACATGGTGACTACTCTTACATATGGGAAAGAGACTATCAACGTTGAGGAGATTACTGCAGCCTTGTTGGCTCACAACCAGCGGAAGCAGAATGCAGGGGAAAGCTCTCAAGCCGATAGCTTATATGTCAAGGGTAATTGAGATCGTGGACGGAAGCCAGAGAAGGCAGGGTCCGGGAAGCGGAATTCCAGATCCAAATCCAGGGATAAGAAGACGATTCACTGTTACAAGTGCAAGGAGGCGGGACATATGAAGCGAGACTGTCCGAAGTTGAAAAAGCAGACCGATGAGAAGCGTGATGGCTCATCCAAGTCTGTGAACGTGGTCGAGGATGATACTTCTGATTGCAGTGAGGGTGATATGCTTTCTATTTCAACGACACAATTGACGGATGCTTGGATTCTTGATTCTGGATGTTCTTATCACATCACGCCAAATAGGGAATGGTTTTCGACATACCGGCCGGTTAATTCTGGTTCGGTTTATTTGGGTGATGATCGATGTTGCAATATTGTTGGTATTGGTGATGTCAGAATTAAGATGCACGATGGCTCCGTTCGGACGTTGAGTGGTGTTCGACATATCCCAGACTTGAAGAAGAATTTGATTTCCTTGGGCACTTTGCACAAGAATGGTTTTATCCCTAAGGCTGACGAGGATAGGGAAACCATTCGGATTGTTAAAGGAGCATTGACTGTGATGAAAGGCAAGATGACTGCGGGGAATATCTACAGATTGTTAGGGAGTACCGTTGCAGGTGGAGTTCACTCTGTTGAGTCCTGTGATGATACGACAAAATTGTGGCATATGCGCCTTGCTCATCTTAGTGAACGTGGTATGGCAGAATTACACAAGAGAAACTTGTTGCAAGGTGTCAAAAGCTGTAAGCTCGATTTTTGCAAGTATTGTGTTCTTGGTAAACAGACTAAAGTCCGTTTCAAGAATGCAAAGCACACAACTCAAGGGATTCTTGATTATGTGCATTCTGATGTATGGGGGCCTTCCACGACATCGTCTTTGGGTGGATCTAGGTACTATGTTACTTTTATTGATGATTTTTCACGGAAAGTTTGGGTGTATTTTTTGAAACAGAAATCTGAAGTTTTTGAAACAGAAATCTGAAGTTTTTGAGAAGTTCAAGTTGTGGAAAGCTGAGGTAGAAAACCAAACAGGACGAAAAATCAAGTGTTTGCGGTCTGATAATGGTACGGAGTACACAGATTCACAGTTCCTACAATTCTGTAAGGAGCATGAGATTCAGAGGCATTTTACAGTGCGCAAGACACCACAACAGAATGGTGTTGCGGAACGAATGAACAGGTCATTAAATGAAAGAGCCAGATGTTTGCGGTTGAATGCGGGGCTTCCCAAACACTTCTGGGCTGAGGCTGTTAACATGGCGTGTTACCTTATCAACAGATCGCCAAGGGCATCGCTGGCTGGGAAAGTTGCAGAAGAGGTATGGACTGGTCATGATGTTAGTTTTGATAACTTACGGATTTTTGGTTGTCCTGCTTATGTGCATGTACCTGCTGATGAGAGATCCAAACTTGATGCAAAATCGAAGGAGTGCATTTTTCTGGGTTACAAGAAAGGTGTCAAAGGATTCAAGTTCTGGGATCCAGTTGCGAAGAAAGTTGTGATTAGTAGAGATGTCGTTTTTGATGAACAGTCTATGTTGCAGCAGAAGCAAGACACGACAGTGGTAGATTTCGAGCAGTTTCCAGTTGAGAAACCAGAAACTTCTCAACCGACTTCTGGTGGTTCCACTACGGATGATTTGCAGGATTATAGTCTCGCCAGAGACAGGGTGAGACGGACGAATATAAAGCCTCCGAACAGATTGGGTTTTGAAGACTTGGTATCTTTTGCACTTACTGTTAGCAGTGATGATCCAATTACTTTTCATGATGCCGTTACTAGTCAGGAAAACGACAAGTGGATGGCAGCCATGGTTGAGGAGATGGAGTCTTTGAATCACAATCGCACATGGGAGTTAGTTCCCCTTCCTGAGGGTAAGAAGCCGATTGGTTGCAAATGGGTGTATAAGAAGAAACCAGCAGTAACAGAAAAAGAGGGGGAGAAGTTCAAGGCTCGTTTGGTAGCGAAGGGTTTTTCACAGCAGAAAGGAGTTGATTATGATGAAATCTTTTCTCCTGTGGTCAGGCACACTTCAATCCGAGCAGTACTTGCATTGGTGGCTAGTTGGGATTTGCATTTAGAGCAGATGGATGTTAAAACTGCTTTTTTGCATGGTGATTTAGAGGAGCAGATCTACATGCGGCAACCTGAAGGTTTCACTCAACCTGGAAACGAGCATTTAGTTTGCAGATTGAAGAAATCTTTGTACGGGTTAAAACAGTCTCCGAGACAGTGGTATAAACGGTTTGACTCCTATATGATCAAGATTGGCTACAACCGATGTGAGTATGATTGTTGTGTCTATGTTAAGAGCCTTGATGATGGTTCTTTTATTTTTCTATTACTGTATGTTGATGATATGTTGATTGCTGCGAAGAACATGGATGATGTTATCGGTTTGAAAACTTTATTGAGTCAGGAATTTGATATGAAAGATTTAGGTGCTGCAAAGAAAATTCTTGGAATGGAAATTTGCAGGGACAGAGACTCAAGGAAACTGCGGCTATCTCAACGGGGTTATGTTGAGAAAATGCTAGAAAGGTTTGCGATGAGCAGCGCGAAACCAATTAGCACTCCATTGGCGAATCACTTTAAGCTCTCATCAGAACAGTGCCCTAAGACAGATAAGGAAGCTGAAAATATGGCAAAGGTTCCGTATTCTAATGCTGTTGGCTGCTTGATGTATGCGATGGTATGTACTCGTCCTGATTTAGCTCATGCTGTTAGTCAAGTTTGTAAGTACATGTCTAAACCTGGTAAGCAACATTGGGATGCAGTCAAGTGGATCTTTCGGTACTTAAAGGGTACTGTGGGACATGGAATTGTTTTTGGGAGTCAGCGGGATAATCCTTTGGTTGTAGGATATGTGGATTCAGATTATGCATGTGACTTGGATAATAGAAGATCTACGACAGGGTATGTGTTTACTCTTGGTGGAGGGCCTATTTGCTGGAAGTCTACTGTTCAATCTGTCGTGGCACTATCTACAACTGAAGCTGAATACATGGCAGCGGCTGAAGCTGCAAAAGAAGCTTTATGGCTTACTGGTTTAGTGAAGGAGTTGGGTGTTCAACAAGGTGGAGTTCAGTTGCTTTGTGATAATCAAAGTGCTATTCACTTGGCTAAGAATCAGGTGTATCGTGCTAGAACTAAACATATTGATGTAAGGTTCCACAAGATCAGAGAGTTGGTTGCATCTGGAGAGGTTTTGTTTCAGAAGGTACATACTGATGAGAATGCCGCTGATATGTTCACCAAGCCAGTTACGACAGACAAGTTCAAGCATTGCTTGGACTTGTTGAATGTTTCGAGTTGTTAAAGAAGCAAGGTAACCCAACCCACATTGAAGTTTCCAAGGGGCAGGATATTCGCCAAGGTGGAGATTTGTTATGTATGGCTCATAAAAAGTCTCGTTGTGGGGTTACAAATTATGTGGGTTGGGGGTGTGGGGGCGCAGCCCCCGCGGTACGGTACAGGGTTGATTTTGTAATTATGTACCAGGGTTTTCTATTATAAATAGAGATGTAACCTAGACCTAAAATATCATTGAATAAAACTTCTAGCGCCGCCTAGGCACCGAGGACGTAAGCACATTGCCGAACCTCGTAAAATTCTCGTGTTCTTTCATTTTCTTTACCCGTTTTCGTCAACAATAAAAACGGAATTTTTTCGGATTGCAACTTGACTGATAAGTACAAACAAAAACCAAAAGCACCAACTTGAGATTAATCAAACTCCATACGTTCGAAAGACCCGTAGCCGGCAAAAATGTGCATTTGCTTTGAACTTTACAGATTTGAAAACAATACTGCATATAAAAGGTGATAAAAAAGTGGTGTCATTGAAAGTAACAAATACAAACAGAAAGCGCAAATGATATTGTCCAAATTCTAATAACTCATTGTCAAGGAATCTATTCGCTAAAAATGGTAGAAACACATAGGGAGGTAATTCGAACTTCCAAAAGAAGCATACACCAGAGTTGGAATCAAACACATTGCACAAAATGCCTTTTATCCAAGGAAAAGAGAGCAGGAAGACCAGTTATTGAGCTCGAGTACCAAACTTTTGAAATAGCTAAAATAGATTCATAAGCAACAGACTGCATAACCGAAGAATAATACATGGGACGGTCGTTCACTAAAAACTAAAGGAACTAGAGTATCAAATTGAAAGAATAATGCACACAACTAAGACGTTAAATTTTTTTGTTTTTATAACTAATTTTAAATTTTTGAATTCATTTTTTGAAAAATATATCATTATTTATAAAAATTTAAAATAAATATATTTTAATTTATTAAAACTATGATCAAATTGAAAGAATATATAAATAACATGGATTATTTGTGTAATTATACCATCCAGGTAAGCAGGTTAACTACTGTTAACAGGCCACGTGTGTTTTTTTTCACGCTAGTTAACGGCGAGTGATCAATTTATAACCAACGATAACGGTAGTGACCGATTTATAACTTTTGAAACATCAATGGTGAAATGAATTTATACTGAAACATTAGTGACCATTGGAGTAGTTTACCCTTAAAATAATTCATAAAATAAATATAAGCCTTTATGCTTTTAACCTAAAGCTGAACTCTCTCCTTTTCCTCGTAAAATATCCCCATAATTTGGTGTATAAACTTAGGGTTTTTATAGCTTTGGTGGTGATCTCTTCTAGGTGTATTCTTATTGGGAGATAAACTTTGAAAAGATTTTATTTTGGGGTTTGTTTGGGAAGCCAATGCCATTTGTTTAAAATTATTCAAAGAGGACTAATTTTCAATGTCTTGGGCTGGCCCTGATGATATCTTTCTCTCCACTTCTCTTGCAACTTATCTCGACAGTAATCTCTATTTTTCTTCCTCGTACATAAGCCAATGCAATTGGAATTCCTTTTATGTTTGCAATCTTTTGAATTATCTTGTTTTTGGGTTTTTTACCTCGGTTTTGCTTTGATTTGGGTCTTATTACACTGTTTGATTGAGTTGATTCCTGTTTGTATATTGTATTGTGTTTTCCCCCCTTTGTCAAGTTATGTTCTTGGATTGTGTGCTTGTGTTTAGTCATTTTGATTTTCTGTAAGAATTGGAAGCAACTGGCATTGTATTGCATGTCCAATTTGTTTGTCGTTGGATTGGAAGATAGGGAATGTTGGATGAAAAGTGGCTTCTTTAGTTTATTTTACAGATTTTGTTTTGGTCTGAGACCCTGCTGTCCGGTAGCCACAATCGGGTACCTCATTTTGGGAGGCAAGCATTCATTCACACCACTATTTTTTCCGCCCACAAGGCTTGAATTCAAAATCTTGTTCAAGGGGAATCGATCTGCTTACCAATGCTGGTCATTTTCCAATCTTTATAGGCTTCTCGATTGGTTTTGCTAGAAAGACTTTGAGGATGTACAAGTCCTCAGCGTTGATTTCATGAAATTTCATGTTTGAATTGGTTGCAGAACATTGAGTAAAAGTTACAATCTTGATACTATGGCTGAAATGCCCCCATGCGTGTTACGATCTGAAATTTATGCTAAATAGATTTGTGTGGTTGAATCATGCTAATCTCTTACAAACGGTGTCTCGGAGATAAAGTTTATTAACATAAACTATGCATCTAGTCCTATTGTATTATATTTCTGGACTCCTTGAATGCTTTTTATTGCAGTTATTTAGCTCCCAGCATTTTCATCTTGTGTCCTAGAGGGTTTCCTTTTATGTTGTAAGTTGTAACGATAAATTGTCTGTAATTCAATGGCCAAAAAGTTGTCTTGTGATATAGATTTTTAATGTTTGCTGTCTATTTTGCAGAGAAACTCCTTGTCTTGCTGAGAGATGGCCGGAAGCTTTTGGGATTACTACATTCTTTTGATCAATTTGGTACTTTGTCACCATATTATTCCTTAAGTTCTTTTCTTCTTTCATTGTTTCTTTGTGTGCTGAATTATGATCATGATGTTATATCCTCCGACATTCACAGCTAATGTTGTTCTAGAAGGAGCTTGTGAACGGGTTATTGTTGGCAATTTGTACTGTGATATCCCGTTAGGTCTCTATGTAATCCGTGGAGAGAATGTTGTCTTAATAGGAGAGCTGGTACGCTGTTATATGCAATCCTTTTTTCACCCTTTTTCTTTTGTTTGATTGCGGAATGTTTTACGATGTTATTTCTTCTTATGAAATGGTACTTGCTATACAGGACTTGGAGAAGGAGGAGCTTCCACCACATATGACTGCTGTGTCGGAAACCGAGATAAAAAGGGTAAAGGAATTGTCATGATTCTTATTTCATTGCATGTTTTCATGTGTTTCATGTATATATACAACGAAACCCATCTAGATTTAGCTACTTGCGTTATATGCCTACTTTTTCATCTAGATTTGGCTAATAAAGTTGCATTAATATGATATTCCGATATGATAAACAAAAGAATTCGTACAAGATGCACATAGCTCCACGTAGTATTATCCGAGGCTTAATTGATTTCATTAATTATTTACTAGTACGATATGAATAACTCGTCTCTTTACCCTTTTCCAGGCTCAGAAAGCAGAAAGGGAAGCAACAGATCTAAAGGGCTCCATGAGAAAAAGAATGGAGTTCCTTGATTTTGATTAATAGATCCTTCCAGTTCGTTAGAGTTTCATGCTATGTTCGCAAATATTAGTGTGATTTTGACCCAAAATTTGAAACAACGGTGGGATAGCATGAAAGATTCTTGCATTATCTGTGTGTTATTGGAGGACGAGGAAGCTAAAAGAAGGGGTAAAAGTTCTCAATCATTCGGAAGACCTTGTATATCTGCTAAAAGCTTGGGGAGAGGTTCATTTTTCCCCGTCTCTTAAGAGGCAAGTAAGATGATTTCCTCTACGTGCACTACGAGTTTTAGGGTTCTAGAAGTTTTCTGTTTATACCCGAAACTGTCTTTACTCTCCTTATTTTAAGTTTCTCTCTACTTCCTTTCTAGACCTTACATTTCATTTGACTAGAGAACTGTTCAAGATTGCTGTAGATTGTTATTTTGGTGCCGCATTTTGTTATGGCACTATCTCTTTTGATATATTCGTAACGTGTTTAGTTATGTTTCATGACTATTAGACATAAATTTCCTTCGCGTTGTTACAAGGACCGAAGATACACAAAAGAAATACAGAATTTAAAACTGTGAGAACCGTATTTGCTGTTGCTCAAAAGCATTTCATGTGAACAATAAATGAATCAGATTCCATGTACTCTTCCTTAGTAATCCATATCCAAGCCTTGACGATCCTGAGTACTATCCTTCTAAATTAATAGAATTGATATTAATAAGGACTAAATGTGTAATTATATAAAAAAATTAACTATCACGTCATCTCCTCCATTAATATTTAACGAAGGGTGACTTGATTGACAAGATTTAAATAGTTAGGTGACCAGATTGATAAAATTGAAAAATTGATGGTTAAAGTAAAATGGGTAAATAGTTAGGTGGTCAATGGTATAGTTTACCCTAAAAACTAATGTTTTATAAATATTATTTTTTAATTAAATTATATTTAAATTTTTAACTAATTTATAATTATACGTTTAGTACTTTATAATTTAACGTTGCTTATTCGTGCTCGTCGAACGTAGCATCCTAAGATTATACTAGAATATATAAAAGTAGAACTCTCTCTATATATACACAAACAGAATAATTTTAGTTAAATAAAATTGTATCATAGCGGTTAGAGAGTCGCCGCGTCCATCACATATCTTTATTTTATTTCTCAATATATTTTTCACCAAACAATTCACATCATGAACTTTTGAGCTAAATCAAATAGAAATTGTCACAAATTCATAAAACAACTTTTATTTCGTGAATTTGATATATGTTTTTTAATTTGATCCTTAAACTTTTTTGGTTACCATAGTCTTTAAATTTTTCAATTTTAATCATTTCAATGATATGATACATTGTCAGATACGATGATCTCTTTGTAATTTTAACCTCGATTTCTCTTTTTTAATTTTTTCTTTACTCAAAATATAAGGAATTAAAAATTTTGAATATACTTTTTGTCTAACCATAATTATTCGATCTATTTTACACTCACAAAATTTGTAAATTGAATTAGTTTTGGATTAGCGCATAACATCAATATCGGTAGGGACATTACATTTTGTCAAAGAAAAAGAACAAAACCATCAAGTTCTGTATAATTCAAGGACTAGAACAACAATTTGACCAAAGAATACCGATGATTGCTTTACCAAAGTTTTTGGACCGAATCCTTGCAATTCCAGCAATCGAATCACAGTTGATCATCAATGTGTTGTAAAAGCCTGCAAGCATAAACATGCAATGTCATATAAATCGGGTTAGTTTTAGATCGAGTTAATTCGAATCATTTTAATTTTAAGTTGTTACGAGTTTAAATTATTTTGAATTTAATTCAAAATCGATGATCATTACCGAGAAAACGTTGCAATGACCAGGATCAGCAACATGAGCCATCAAGTTCTCAATCGGGCCTTCACCAGTATACACAGCTTGGAAGCAAAACCCCACGAATGCTAACATAGCAAGTCGTCCATTTTTAATCTCTTTAGTCCTCAACACCATCACCGGCTCTGGCGACCCTCGTCCCCACATAAACGGGTCGAACCATAAGCCACCGGGGTAACCGACGTCGGGAGTCGGATTCTTCCTGTTGGGAAGTTTGGGTTCGATGTCGACACTCCCCGGCTTAAGCATGTCAGCCCACCTTCGGCCTTCTACCCATCCCATCAATGCCATTTGAACCACAAACAAGGTCGTGGGGTCTGTGAAATAGTCTCTCTCACCAGCATCGTACCATGAGAAGTTGTCGATGAAACCGAGCGATTCGAGGAGTTCGGGTATGAGGATTCCGGCCACTGCTAGCATCGCCCACCTCGCATGCATTAGCTCGGCTTGTGCGAACCATTTTAGAGTTTCCGGATCAGAACCTGGTAATGGTTTTAGATCAAGAGTTTTGAAAATGAGAATTAACTCTAAGCACATTGATAACGTAAATTTTTTCCAAGCACATCATTTGAGGATTAATTTCAATATTCTTTTCAAACTATAGCTTTGGTTTTAAATTGGTTCTCAAACTTCAAAATCTTTTAGTTAAATCCTTAAAATATCAATATTGTATCAATCAACATTCCATCACTTAGTCATCAGTATAAGCTTTAGTCCAACATTGGGTACAGTTGCTTTCAAGCACTGACTCATCAGTATAATATTTCAAGTATTAGCTCGACGGCATAATATAAATAGATATTTGATCCATAAAATACAACTAAAATGATTATGAAATCAGATTTTATCATATCTCAGTCATCATATTAACGTCAATCTTAGATGATTGTCAATTTTTTTAACGAAAAATGACGAGTTTGAAACATAAGAATAGTTGGGTGACCATTTTATAACTTTTAATACTCGCGTGACTCAACAAAGCAACACTCTATAGCTTGAAGATCATTTTATAATATTTAATAGTCATAGGACTTAACAAATAAACATTCTATAGTTGACAATCATTTATGTATTTTACCCTAAATATATTTCATGTCAGATCTCATTCAAGTTTAATATCTTAGGTAACGAGGAGGATAATAGAATGACTAATTTATACAACATTAATGCTTAAAAAACCCAATTAGAGTGGTTTTTAAGCTTGTGAACCGATTTAAAATCTAGGCCATAGTTTTGGACGCCTAATGCAATTAGCTGTAATTGAAATACATACTCTAAAATCTTATAAAAATTGAGAAATTCTAATTAAACTATTTATAAAAAGTTAATAAAAATTAAAATATCGACATTTTGGTTAAAAAAAAGGTTTTAGGGTGGGTTTGATCTAAACATGTATAGACTTAAATCTAAAAAAAATACAAATGACCACTAAATTATATTGAAATGATTTTTTAATCATTGAAAATTTAGAAATTATAAAATGATCATTAAACTTACCGAGCTGTTATAAAATGATCATTGTGTGTTTATATTAAGGATGATCATGGTTCGAGTTAGGTTGGGGATTTGGCCTATCTGAACCAAACTTGGATAAAAAATCCCTCCACTTGTCACTTGACTTGAATTTAAGGTAGTTTCATTTGACTTGAAATCGGACTCGATTTTTAGGATAAAAATATGTATTATACTTGATTTTTAGGATAAAAATCTATGCTCTATTTGACACAAATATATATAATTCTCATTTTTATTAGATAAAATAAGGATCTAACTGAGAAAATATAAAGAGGGGTATTATAGTCGTATTCCAATATATATATATAAGTTAATTATACTATTATTTCTGAATCAAGTTAGATATGGTATTTTTCCTAAACACAAACTCGATCTAACCTTCTCTAAAATACCAACCAACCAAAACCAATTTTTTTTTTAAAAAAAAAACTCAATCTTATCATATCAAAACTCATTAAATTCGGGTTAAATACCTACCTTGATTTATACTCTGGAATTTATAAACCTTACGACATCAATGAAAAAAATGAAAAATCACAAGGTTGTTATGTTGGATACCTAATCCAAGTGGGTCGAAGCCAAAATCTCCGGGAAGGCTACAACAAAAAGGGGCAAATCATATACCATGATGGACGAATTTCAACTCAACTAATGGGCACTCTCCCATGCAAGGATGAATAAATAATTTACCTGCCATCCAGCCATTCCGGAGGAGAGCTACCGGGGAACCATAATGGTCTATCAGGAGGAAGTGGTTCACAAACACTAGACACTCCTCCTTTCGTCGCGCTAGTGTCGGTTCTCCCCCGTAACGATGTCGTGACTCGTCCGGGAAGTAACCTTTGAGGTCTATTGGGAGGAAGTGGTTCACAAACACTCGACACTCCTCCTTTCGCCGCGTTCTTGTCGGTTCTCCCTCGTAACGATGTCGTGACTTGTCCCGGAAGTAACCTTTGAGGTCGATCACGGTATCGAAGTACCGATAAGGTTGAAGATATGGATAAGGCCATTTGCATGAGATGAGACAGGACACGGAGATATGTTCCTATGGAGTTTCTTCTTATCTGGTTAGAAAAATACGGGAGACGTTAAGGGGAAATTGTGATAAGTTGTCTGAGGTGGAACAAATGGGAAATGAGGTGGCCAATCACTGGTTTACACGTGTAAAGGATAGGGAGTTTTGTGTCTTGGGTCTGGTTCATAATGGTTTGGGTAGGGAGTAAGGATAACGTGGCAATCTGGGCCCAAACGGAAGATGGGTCTGAATTCGATGCTTAAACCGACACCCCACATACTACATCGAAACATTTAGAAACCGAATTGGACATGAGATTAGCATGATCCGTATTGAGTCGGATTCTTTTGATTGATTTTAGCATTCTATTTTTTCATCCGTTATTCGCCTTGATTTGATTTTATTGGAGACTCTACTCTACCAAAAATTTGATTCAATTTTTGAAATAAAAGCTCGCACCTTATTGATAAATATAATATTCTTATTTTTATTATATAAAATAAAGACACAATTAAAAAAACATAGATAAAAATATTATTACAATTATTTTTAAATATATAAAAGATGATAATATTACATCTCAAGTTAAATATTTTTACCCTAAACTCGAATTTAATTTAATTTTTAAAAAACCCAATTTGAACTTAAATATTTAATTCTATACGGCAAACTCAAGTTAAAATAAGTTGAAATTGAGTCTCATGCATATCTCTAAAAATAATTAGACACCTAAAACAAAAAATATATATATATATATATATATATATATAGAATTTAAATACTTTTTTTAGTTAAGAATTTTAAAAATTAAAAATTAAATTTTTATCTTATTTTTATAAAAATAAATTTATATATTATTTTTATGTAAGAATCTTAATCTTTTCCCTCATTTTTGTTTGATTTTAATATTAATTATTAGTTTAATAACTTAAAATTAAAAATAACTTTTATATTTATATATTTTATCAATTTAATCTTTAATTTTTAGAAATAATATATATATATATATATATATATATATATATATAATATTGGAACTTATACCTTATTTACTAGTGATAGGTAGGGATGACAAACGGGCGGGTCGGGTGCGGATACCCCCTCCCCCATCCCCATACATACCTAATATTTTTCAATCTACCACCCGCCCACCACCTATGATAGGTACAAAATTTTAAATCCACACACGCCCATGCGGGTACATTCTCAAATCTATCTCCACCTAGGTGTGTAAACAAGCCGAGTCGAGCTAAAAATTATCAAACTCAGTTCGAACTCAAAATATAATATTAAAACTCAACTCGAACTCGAAAAAAACTCAAATTCAAAAAAAAAATCAGGAACTCAATTGAAGCTCGAGACTCGAGCTAGATTGAAGCTCAATTTTGAGCTTGATTCAAGCTCAAACTCACCCATTACCACAAATTATAACGTAGGCTCTCCTACAGTGGGAAGACCTTAGGCGAGCACCCCTCCCAAATACAATAGAGATCGCTTACCTAGGCCATGAACCTTAATGACTATACATTGACCATGTCCAAATAAGTATATTGAAAGAAGGTAACTGCCTTTTATTTATAATGTCAAATAAGTGGTCCACTTATATACTTCCCCAATGTGGGATATTGCTAACTATAAATCTAGCATTTGGTAGAAAACTGAATCTGTAAAGATCACATTATAAAGATCAACTTACAATTATAAGTTGCAAGAAAAAATAGTTATAGTGTTTGTCGAATTGAGAGAAAACATTAGGTAAGCATAAACCCATCAAGATTACTGTTAAATTGCCCTCTTTGTAGACGACAAATGCAAGTTCTATCATCAAACCGAAGAAACGAATATTAAATTCATATACCTCACGTTAACACAAATGCATAAATTTATTCTTAATATTTGGTTACATTACAAGTTATATCTTATAAAATATTAGGATTTATAAATTAATCTCTAAAATTACACCTAAATTCATAATAGTCCAAAATTTAATGGATATTTAACTGGGCGGGCAGATGTGGGGCGGGTGGATGCGGGGCGGGTGAAGTCTCAAACTCATTACCCGCCCACTACCCGCGACAGATACCACTTTCTAAATCCACACTCACTCACTATCCACTAAAATTATACTTATCCCGCTCCAATTGAAATGATTACAGTGCGGAATCTACTAAATTGTACCTAGTTATTATCCCTAGTGATAGGCATTGATCAAGTCTCGTTAAGTATATGTTTAAAATTCCTTTGATTATCTGGGCAGATCATATAACTCTTCCATTGGGCAAAGAACCCCTAAACGAAAATCAACAATTTACTTTCTAATTCACCAATTTGCCACCCTTTTTCCAATATGAAAACCAAAGATTTAACCTTTAAGCAAAAAGCATGTTAATGGTAAAGGTGAAAACAATTCGTATGTGATAGATTAATCCTTTTCCTTTGGGTTAACAAAGATTTATCTCTAAAAAACAAACACCCTTTTGCGTTTTAAGCTCCTATAACCCAGGAATATCCTTCTTGTCCATGTCGCAAACCCAGACCCATCTCCCCAAAACCTTTTCCTGAAAATGGTAGAGCCATTATTGCCGGTCGGGAGGTTTCAGTTGCAGCGAAAAAGGGTGGAGCTTAAGAGATGGACGGTGGCATTCTTCTCTTCACATCGGACTCTCTTTACTATCCTCTGGATCGTGGCTTTCTGTTCGGTTTTTGTGTGGCAACGGAATAGTGTTCTCGAGCCGGGGCTTTCCGTGTCGGGGAAAACATGGTCCCGTCGGCCCGTGCCGAAGATGCGGGCTTTCGCGTTTAATTTGACTGATTTCGGTGGGGTAGGCGACGGGGTGACGGTGAATACGGAGGCGTTTGAAACCGCCGTGGAGGCGATCTCGAAGCTTTGGGAGAGAGGTGGTGGACAGCTCAATGTGCCGACTGGGAAGTGGCTTACGGCGCCGTTTAATCTCACTAGTCATATGACTTTGTTCCTAGCTGAGGATGCTGAGATTCTTGGTATCCAGGTTTGGTCTTTTGAAATGATCCTTTTTTGTTGAATTCATGAATTCATAAGTATGTTTAAATTTCAACATTTTCAGTTGTTGTAGGCTGTGAATGGTGATGGTGGGGTCTTATGATTAGTGTAAAGATGTATGATGATCACATAACCAAGGAAATTCCTAGTCATTTTACCATTTTTTAACTTCCAAATTATGCTAGTATAGTGATGTTAGTTTACGTCTTGGTCATTTGGTAATTTCTGGCTGTTGAAGTTAGTCGAGCTCATGAATCCATAAGGTGTGTAAATTTGGCGATGAAATGGAATGATTGGTCGAGACAGTGATTGAGTTTTCAAACTTGTAGTTTAACATTGTTAGTACTCATAGGTTGTGAATGGTGATGGAGGGGTCTTATAAAACTAGTGTAAACATGTATGACGGTCGTATATTCGGGAAAACTCGTAGTGGTTTTACCAATTTCTAACTTCCAATTTTTGCTAGTATAGTGATGTTAGTTTATGTTTTATTCATTAGGTAATTTCTTGCCGTTGAAGTTAGTCGAGTTCATGGAAAGATAACTGTGTTTAAATTTGGCAATGGTAGTGAATGATTTGGTGAAGACAGTGATTGAGTTTTCAAACTTGTAGTTTAACATTGTTAGTTTTCATAGGTTGGGAATGGTGGAGGGGTTCTATATAGTTAGTGTAAACATGTATGAAGGCCATATAATCAGGAAAAATGGTAATGATCTACCAGTTTCCATCTTCCAAATTGTGCTAGTATAATGATGCTAGTTTATGTTCTAGTCATTAGGTAATTTCTCGTCGTTGTGGTTAGTTATTTGGCCTTTTTTATTAAGGCTTTGGATTCTGCTGGTTTCACCTTATGGTTCTTTATGACATTTACGGCGTTATTGCATTTTGGATGTATTCTTATTTACGATATTATACAGGATGAGAAGCAATGGCCATTAATGCCTCCATTGCCATCATACGGGCACGGAAGAGAGCATCATGGACCTCGGTATGGGAGTTTAATCCACGGTCAAAACCTCAAAGATGTTGTTATAACCGGTTAGTTACATGTGAGCTCCAATTTATGTTTCTAAGTCGTTTCCCTGATATTTTCTTCCCATGTCATTTAAGTTAAAAGCTGGTATTTTCTTCACAAGTATTCTACGATTCCAAATTTATTAGTCTGTGTGGTATTTGGTAAAAAAGAATGACGGTGAACTTACAGTAGATTCTCCGTTACTGGAATCATTGTATAAATGAACATTGAGAAGTTTTTTCTGCATGAGTTATCGGTGTTGACGGAGTCTGATTTTTCTCTTGTTTCTACAATTCAACAGGGCATAATGGTACCATAATCGGACAGGGTCAATCATGGTGGAAGAAGTATCGTCAAAAGCTACTCGACCACACCAGGGGACCACTTGTGCAGATTATGTGGTCTAGTGACATCGTAATCGCTAATATTACCTTGCGTGATTCTCCCTTTTGGACTTTTCATCCATATGATTGCAAGAATGTAACAGTCAGGAACGTTACCATCCTGGCTCCTATACACGGAGCCCCAAATACCGATGGAATTGATCCTGGTAAGTAGGAACAAAATGTATTGAAAAGTTTCTCTCCGAGAGCTTACAGTAGCTAAGGCTCCCTGCACGATTCTAGATGGGTCGAGGATTTTCTTTTTCCCTTACTCCTTTCTAGCACAAACAAGAAAATTTCTTGTTGTATAAGCCTCGACGAACGGACTTATGTTACACTGGCTGGCTCGGATCTATGCTTTTGTACCACATTTCAGTTTGTTGATTTGATGTGTTGAGAGGAAAGATTACTTCATTCTTAATGCGACTAATTGTAAACAGATTCGTGCACGGATGTAGTAATCGAAGATTGCTACATAAGCGTTGGAGATGATGCAATTGCAATAAAGAGTGGGTGGGATCAATATGGCATAGCTTACGGACGACCTTCAAGAAACATTCTCGTCCGAAACCTCATTGTACGCTCTATGGTCAGGTGAAGTTTCTTGAACTTACTGAGCGTTCTATTTCATTAACCATCTGACTGAGCCAGCTTATTGAATTCATGCATCTATATCACATAATTTGCAAACTTCTTATGCAAATGCATTCTCTGGCAAATCTTGGAAGTTTCTAGGTCTTTCGATTCATGTTTGCCAGTGCATACCAACTTTAAGATACTAACTGAATTCTGTCTTTGCTGAACTATACGACAGTGCCGGCATATCAATCGGCAGTGAGATGTCAGGTGGGGTATCCAATGTCACTGTAGAGAACCTCCTTGTCTGGAGTTCTCGCCGTGCAGTTCGAATCAAGACTGCTGCTGGAAGAGGTGGATACATTAAACACATAACCTACCGAAATCTGACATTTGATAATGTCCGGATTGGAATCATTATGAAGACAGACTACAACGAGCACCCTGACGATGATTTCAACCCGAAAGCCCTTCCGATAGTTAAGGACATAAGCTTCACAGGGATACGTGGTCAAGGAGTCCGTGTTCCTGTTCGTATACATGGTAGTGAAGATATCCCTATACGAAACGTGACGTTTAGGGATATGTCCGTTGGGCTAACGTATAAGAAGAAGCACATATTCCAGTGTGGCTTTGTTCAAGGCCGCGTAATCGGCACCATCTTCCCTGCTCCTTGCGAAAACCTCGACATATACAATGAAGAAGGGCAACTCGTCAAACGTTCTGTAGCTCGGAACGTAACCGATGTAGATTATGACATATGAGAATACATCAGTTCGCCGGCAGCCAGCCATTCTTTCCGGGATCAAAGCTCAAAGGCGGAACAAGACTGGAGAAATGGGGCTTTGTTTATTTACTATCATATTCCCTTTCTCGACTCGCTTTGATTCATGGAGTTTCGTAGGGAAAATTCTCAACTAGTTTATAGGGTTTAATCAGCTAAATGGAGGGTCAAATTATTAGTTTGGTCCCTGTAGTATGTTAAAGTTCAAGATTTAACATTATTTAACATCTCTACTTTTATAATATTATAAACGGCATTGACAATTTGAATTAACTAATAATATTTCAATAAATTAAGATATTTTAAGTTGAAATATAGAAAATAAATTCAAATTTTAACATGAGTAAAGGTTTAAATCATAATTTAACCTCTATAAAATATTGAAGCTAAAAAATGGTTTAGATTAAAAAAGGGATTAATTCATGATTTGGTTCTGAATTATACTTGGTTTTGCGTGTAGTACTTTAATAAAAATAGACTATATTTGTTGGGTAAACTATACGTTTAGTATCTTGATAAATTAAAATTATCAAGTTTAGGGACTAAAATTTGTTGGATAAGTTATATGTTTAGTATTTTAATTATTACTTTTATTCTGTTTTAGTCATCTAACTATTATTTTTTAAAAATCATACTTAACGCTACACAGATGTTTTGAGTATGATTCTAATGGTGTGTGACCAAAATATAATATTAGGCATGATTATAAAAAAATAGTTAAATGATCAAAATAGAATAAAAGTGATAGTTAAAATATTAAACGTATAGTTTACCCAAATTTGTTTTATCTCGGTTACAATTATTTTTCTTTATATATTTATTTTCACTTCCGTTTTTAACTCAGCAAAATCTCACAATCGCCTTCCTGGGATTTCTCCTTCTTCTTCCCCCTTTATTTTTTAATTAATTTTTGTTTTTGTTTATTTTTAATCCAATCGAAAGAAGATGCAGCAGCAGCAAGGGCTAAATCAGCAACAGCAAGCTATGATGCAACAAGCTTTGTACCACCATCCCAGCTTCTTCACCGGTCCTCAGGTTCTTTTTAAATTTGGGGTTTTTTATTTTTATTTTTATATTATAAAGTTTGTTTATTTCTTATTCAAATTGGGCTTCTTCAATTCTTTTTGTTTCTTGTGTCAATTTACTTGCTGGATAGTATTTATTGTGAATTAGGGGTGTTGGGGGTCTGTTCGGTTTAATTTTCTCGAAGGGAAATAATTTTCTTGGCAGGCTAGAAACTTTGCTTGATATACTTGTTCATGGTTATTTAAAAAAAAGGATTAAAAATATATTTTTAGGGAAAATTGCACTTTTTTCACCCAATTTAGGATTTTATTTATTTTGCAGATAGAGCCTATCTTGAGTGGAAATCTTCCTCCTAACTTTGATGCAGCTACTTGCCGCAGTGTGTGAGTGTTGTCTAGCTTGTTTCATAAAGTTTTCACTTTTGGGCTGTTTTCTCTTTGACTTGTATTTAATTATTTATGGTATATCATTTGATCAAGCTTTTTGCCTTGTATTATTCAGTAAAGAACTGTGAGTTTCGCGCCATTGTTAAGTTCGGCTTACCGTATCTTAAATTGTAGGTATGTCGGAAATATTCACCCGCAGGTCTCCGAACCCCTTCTACAAGAAGTTTTCTTGAGTACTGGTCCTATCGAAGGATGCAAGCTTATTAAAAAGGATAAGGTCGTCTTTTGATGCAATTGCTTTTTCGGTTTTCAGATCCGTAATTGATTTTTGGGATTCTTGGTTTATGCTTATATAATTTCTAATAGTGGATGTTTTTTTTTCTTTATAGTCATCGTATGGTTTCGTGGACTACTTTGATCGTAGATCAGCTGCCCTTGCTATTGTGACTCTTAATGGAAGGCATCTGTGAGTGTAACAATATGAACCCTTTTTTGTGTTGGCCTTTTTGCTTGTCCTATATTTTTAACGCGTGGTCTTCTTTGCAGATTCGGGCAACCTATTAAAGTGAATTGGGCATATGCTAGCAGTCAGAGGGAGGATACATCAGGTTTATATATGTTCATTGATGAATTCCACTCACTTAATAGTATAAATGTGTCTTTGTGTCAACAACTTACGCTATATCTACTTTGGCATTCAGGTCATCACAACATTTTCGTCGGTGATCTCAGCCCCGAAGTTACTGACGCCACATTGTTCGCATGTTTTTCTGTGTATTCCAGTTGTTCGTGAGTACTAATTCTCCTTGTTTTTACCTGAGATTCAGTTTATCAATATTGAACTGCTGGAAATGTGGGTTTAATGGTACTTTTGGGGTGATCAACCTTAAACTAGTTGAATGAAGGACAAATATTTATTTTTTTTCTTCACTGTGGTTGAAGGGATGCTAGGGTAATGTGGGACCAAAAAACCGGGCGTTCAAGAGGTTTTGGTTTTGTTTCTTTTAGGAACCAACAGGTACTCGGGTCTCTTCGATAATTCTTCTGGTTCTCCTCTCTCTCTCTCTCTCGTTCTCTCTATCTCTATCTCTATCTATCTATCTACCTACATATGATTTTGTCAAGTCACGATCAGTTTATCACCCGACTGTTTTTTTCTTTTCTTTTCAGGATGCCCAAAGTGCAATAAATGACTTAAATGGTACTTGAATCATTGCTTTTATTGATATAGTTTTTTGTATTCTGATAAATATTAATTAAATTTCCATTATTTCATTTTGGCTTATTACAGGGAAGTGGCTTGGAAGTAGACAGATCCGATGTAACTGGGCTGCAAAAGGTGCTACTTCCAATGATGACAACGCCAAAAGCGTTGTAGAGCTGACTAATGGAGCTTCTGGTAGGATTATCCTTTGGCTTTGAAATAATTTTTGTAGTTGAGATCCAGTGTCGGTTATTTTAAGTCACCCTTGGCTCCAAATTTTCCTGGAATAAATACGGAATGTTTTCCTCCCAAAATTTGAAAGCGTCACAACTATAATTTGAAAGCCATTTAATTTTCTCTTGACCTTTTGGTTTTTTGGCCTTTGTTGGAGCCTTCATTGCACGTATGCTTCTTGCTCCGCTTCGGTAGAGTTCTCAATCATGGTATTATCTTTTCTTGCAGAAGAAGGTCAAGAAAAATCTAATGATGATGCTCCGGAGAACAATCCTCTGTATACTACCGTTTATGTGGGAAATCTCGCTCCCGAGGCAAGTATTATTTTTTAAAAAAAAAATCACAATTGTATTTGTTCTTCCCTTGATCGAAACTTGTATTGATGCCGGTAGCCGTAGTAATCAATTTTAAAGATATATGGACTGCAGTCAGGTTGCCCCTGCCCAACTTAAACAAATTTTGCGGTTTTGTAATCTAATAAGAACATTGATATTAACTTCCTTGGCAAACCTTAGAAACATGTAGCTGCCACCACCACCAGTATGGCATGTGAAACATGAAGCATTCCATCCTTTTTTCCGTCATGTACATGGAAGGTAATTGGTTTTCTTTGGTGGTGGCTCTGATAGATAAAACAATTTGCAGGTTACATCGGCTGATCTCCACAGTCGTTTCCATGCCCTTGGAGTGGGAACCATTGAGGATGTCCGTCTGCAACGAGATAAAGGTTTCGGCTTTGTGAGATACAGTTCACATGATGAAGCAGCTCTTGCCATACAGATGGGAAATGCTCAAATTCTTTTTGGTAAACCAATGAAGGTATTTCATTACTAGTCTTAAAGCACTAACTCTATCGATAAGCATCATTCATCCTATTATGGAATGCATTGCTACGACTTGTGGATATTGCAAACTATGTAAAATTGGACTCGGGTGTGGGTGTTGGTTATGGGTATATATTTTGACACGGCAATGTGTTTCTGGGATCTTTTGATGTCATATCCCCATATAGTCATATCCATGTATCTGACATTCGTATAGGATACAAGTACTTTGAGAAAAATGAAGATTTCTAACATAGAATGTAAATATTACGCAATGGCGGCAATAGCATGACCTTTGAAATGTTTAAATGTTGCAGTGCTCATGGGGTAGCAAACCTACAGCACCGGGAACGAGCTCGGGCCCTCTTCCTCTGCCAGCCATTGCACATATGTCTGGTGTATCAGCCGCAAACCTTGCTGGTTATGGTGGTCATGCCCACATAATGAGCATGATGCATCCACAGGGCGGTGGCGGAGCTAATCATGCAATGTACAGCGGCGGATACCAAAATGTCTCGAAGACCCAGCAGCATGTGTACTACCAGTAACTGATGGGATGCTTCTATTGCCATTGCCAGCTTCTTCTGTTTACATTTTAGTTTTTCTACATGTATTGTAGGGTTAGTTCTGTTCGTTTACTGAGATAATATTATTTAAGACCGTTGGATATAACAGCGTTGTCTAGAGCCGTTGATTGTTGCGTTTTAAGAACTCAGTTGAGATATAAAATTTTGCTTCCCCTATTTCCTGTGAGTAGGACTATAAATGAACCGAGTTTCAAACGAACATGACATGTTCAATTGTTTGTTTTTAAGTTTATTTGTGTTCACTATTACACGATGATTGTGTTTTGTTCATTTACCATTGAGATTGTTTGATTCATGCTTAAGGAAGTTTTTACCAAATTGGTACCAAGAATATCCATGTGTGGTATTGATATTTATTGTTAGAAGAAATAATAGTATGTTTAATTGATATTGATACTAAGGTTGTGTATCGATATTCATCTATTAGTATCAATGTAGAAAATCTGAATATTAATACTCAACCTTTAAAATTGTAATAATATATACAATTGTTTCATAAATATTCAAATAGTAATAAGGAGAAAATAAAATTAAAATGGTACTTTATGATACTCGATTTAGATTAATTAATTCATAAAAAATATATCAAAAATTCTAAATTGCAAAAATCTCAGTCCATAAAATTTGCCCAGAGCTACTATTATCATAACCCAACCTTGAATTTTTTGCAGATTTACATTGCTCTTTCCTCTCATCCACCATTATTTGTGTTGACCTACACTCAGAACTGCAGAAAGCTTTCTCCCCTCTGCGAAAAGAAGAACAAACATCATTAAAACAATCGAAACAATCACTAAAAAAATGAAAAATAATCGACCAAAAAGGTGTAAAAAAAGTAAAGTTTTTAGTTATTGATTCTGACCTGTACATGAATATGTCTTTGCCATGCAACTTTTTCTTGCAGAGATGACAAGAACTGAGGAAATCCGACGTCGGGTATTCATCATCTTCGACAAATCGAGCCGTTGATGATGTTTCCTTAATAGCTCCGAGAAACCCATTTCTGTCATGCCCTAAAGAAACATGATTACTTCTTCTTCTTCGTTGTTGTTCTTGTAGTTGTTGTTCATGGAAGTACATTTTTGTAGATGATTTCCCAGGTCCATGATGGGTTATCACAATAGTATAATCCTCCATCTCCAAACCCTCAAACCCTCCTTTGAATACACCGTTATTGTTACCATGGTTGACGGCGATCGCATTTCTCGGACTCGGAATCGACCTTCGGGTGGATTTCTCCAACGAAGCTATGATTCCAAGTCCGACACCGCCGGTGGCGTCGTATCTCTTCGAACCTCTTGGTGATGGGGTTTTAAGACCTAATGGACTCTTGGGGCTCTTTAATGGATCCCAAAACCCTGAAACGTGGCTCGAAACGAGTGATTCAGGCGAGTTTCCGATCAACGGTCGAGCTCTGTTCCCTAACATGGATGTTGAAAAAGGAGACAAAAATGGACGGAAATCAAAATGATTACTTGTTGGAAGAAGAGGTGGAGGAAAGGAAAGTTATTAGAGACTAATGCTTAGGGGTTCTTTGAGAGTTTAACCAATTTATATGATGGTAGGAGACACTATGGTTTAGTTTGGAGCTATATGGAGGATGATTGCTGCCATGATTCGAATATCGATGCTTATAAACTATTGATTGAATTTTCGTATGATGTAAAAAAAATATTATTATTTTTAGATAATTCGAGTTTAAATAATTATATTTTTAGAGCATATATGTATTGTTAATAACTAAAAAAAATTAAATTGATAATATCTTATATTCACTCACAAACTATCCGAAAAGAAGTTAGAATTATTAATCTTAAATTTTAACATAATACAATGACTAAGTTGTAATTAATTATAGTTTTAAAAAGTATTTTCTTTTTTTCTCTAAAAAAAGTCGCTTTTGAAGTGGGACCCTAACCTTATAATGATTGATACTTGATACCTTATCTTGTGGGCAATGGGTCCCACCGTGGGGCCACTGCACTTACAACACTCGAAAAGATTACTGGGCCATCATAACCGTTGATGTTTGGATACGTGGCGTGAATCTACGGGGGATGGAGCCTTTCAATTATTGCTGAACACAACCAAGTTTTTTGCCTTGATTGAGAGCCCATTGAATTCTAGGGTCTACTGTTTTTGTAGTAGGGGCCCACTAAAAAAGTGTTTTTGTCCTTAAGTTACTAAATTACCCCTACAACTGAAAAAAAAGATTATTAAGATTAATTTTTTTTAAATTAAGGATACGAATGGGTATTTTATCTTAATTTGATGGGGGTTGGTTTAACTCAATTATTTAAGATTATTTTCTAATTTGGGTGTGATTGCAGGTTTTTTATCCTAAAAGTAATGTTAAGTGACATGTAGAAATGTATAATATTCAAATCATGTTCATGTGGACTAAAAATCTAATTCGACTCGACCCAGGATTATCCTAACCAAGAATAACCAACATTTCATATTATTAATTTCAATTATTAATTTTCACTATTCATCAATATAAAAAGTTATAAAATCTAAAATTTTTACATTTCGTTAAGTCTTACTACCTTTTATCTCTTTATATCTTTGCATACATTTCATAATACCTTTTAGATATTAAAAAATAATTTATTTGTAAATCTATAAAATTTTAAAATGTTGATAATATATAAAAAAAATACTTAATATTTTTATTATTATTGAATGAAAAGAAATAAACTAAATGCCTACACTATTAAGAAGCAAATCCGTTGGTTTGTTCTTCGGTCTATTCTGTCACATGCTGCATATGTGCCTGAGCCATCTCCTCAGTTATTCCTTAAAACGTCTATAAAATTTTGGGATGTGGGCCCCTTTTCTTAATTCTTAATTAAAAGAATCACAATCAAAGAAGGGTAAACTATATTAGTGGTATTTTTGTTTTTATTCTATCTTATTTCAGTCATCAATTTTGAAAAATTACGTTCTGGTCACTTTTATTTACAGTCTATCTTATTTTGATCATTGAATCATTAACTCTTGTTAGATGGATAACATGACAAGTTAGAAATAAAATATAATTTTTAATTTGCCTATGAATTTTAGATAAAATACTAATTTAAGCCTTAACTTTAGAAAGAATAGCGATTAGACAACTGAATCCATCCAAAGTCTCCCGTTGTTTATCGTCATTCATCACTATTGTCGATTATCACCGGCCGCCGTCACCGATCACTTTTAAACAGTAAAATTTTTAGTTCACTCTTTTTTAACCTCATAAACACAAATCAAGTGTATATTACACTGAAAAATACCTTAAACTCCGTAAAATTTTAACAATATATGTTTTTATAAAATGTCAAGATTTCTCAAAATTTTCAAAATGGTTTCTCTAATTGTAGAGTCAACCTTAACAAATACAGTTGGATAACCAGTTGGACTTCAACCCAAGGTTTGGACCCATGTTTTCGGTATAACTTTTCAGTCCAATTGAGAAATAAGTTTTCATAGTCTTATTCCCTTTGCAAGGACACTGCTCATCAAACATGTTTTCAAATTGATAACTTATCTAAAAATTTATGAGTTAAATTAATATTTTATTTAAAATTTAAAGATCAAGTTATATTTTATCTAAAATTTAAGGATTAAATTAAAGAATTATCATTTTTACCAACATATCATATCATCAAACTTATAAGAATTAAGCACGAACTTAGTGGTTAAGGGATTTGTTGTTATCCCTTGAGGTCCCAAGCTCGAGCAACATGTATGTAAGGGTATGAGCGTTATTTGTCAAATGATTAAGAGTTTTTTTTAATAAATATTATCTTATATTCGTCCTAAATTTATAAAAAAGGGAAAAAAACTTACCAGAATTAGTAATTTCTTTAAATTTCAAGAGATCTGATTGACAATAAAAACCCTACAATAACTGGAAATAAATTATCGATCATTATCATCGCTTTTGTAATTCGTGTAAAAAAAGAATAATTGACTTTTAAGGAATGTATCGTTGATATCTACTTGTTTGAATGTGACAACCAACAAGAGAAGGACGTGAACCATAGGTAACTTCACAACACGACTATAGGTTTCTTTAAAAAAATATAGTATAAGGTTTTTATGTACTTAAGGTTTGATTTCGAGTTCAAATTTCAACCGAGTTAAATTTAATTTTTTTTATTTCGAGTTTCAAATAATGATTATGAGTTCGAGTAGAACTTGAAAATGTTAGGCTCACGAATTTTCAAACCGAATTGAAGTCCCTTTTAAAGTTCTCGAGTCAGATCGAGCTCAACAGTTCTCAAACTCGATTCGACTCGTTTACAACCCTACCTCGAAGGCAACTCGAATAAAGACCATTTCTTATTATGAAACAGATTTTTATACTCGATTAACACCGTAACTCGTCAACTATCGATACTCTCAGGTGCCACAAGTTTTAGATTTGAAAACACATGTCCTATCACATATGTGTTTTAAAAAATTCATATGATGTAATGCGTTTTTATCTTGCATGATATAAAAGTATGTGTATGACAATGTAAAAATTAATTTCAAATGAATGTTAGTTAAAAACTTCATGTCATGTCAGCTAAAACACGTCCTATCAAATATATCTATTGAAACGTACGTATGACATAACATATTTTTGTCCCATATAAAAAATATTAATTCAAAAAACAATTTAAAATAAATGTTAATTTTTGTGAGTTTGATATTTCAATAGAAAAACAGATTATTTGGGGCTTTGACCTTTTTTCCACTCTGGCAATCTGTTCATATCCAGGTGGGACATGTAGGAGTCCAACTGATGAACTCGACATTCCAGGCGCGTGGTGTCAATCTCGTTCGAAAATGGCCAAATATTCTAGAAGTCTCCAATCAATAAATAAAACCCAGTAGAACACACTAGGGTTTCCATCATATCAGACCCCAACCATTATCATCTTCACTGACTTCCCAAAGGCCCCATCTTTCTCAAAGGTATGTTATTTACTTCTCTTGAAAGTAAGCCCTTTAATTTTTTACTTGGAAAAAATGGATTATTGAATTGAAAGTTGTTTGTTTCCTGGGAAATTTTCAATGCAGCAATGGCTACATCTCAGCTAACAGCATCATCAATGACAGTATCAGTAAGGAACTTAGCTTCCTTTGAAGGGATAAGGCCTTCAAGTGTAAAGTTCTCTTCTTTTGGAACTTTAAAGCCTGGGTCTTTGTCTCAAAGGTCCTTTAAGCGTCTTTTTGTAAAAGCTGTCGCCGTTGTTGCTCCTAAGGTAAATATTGTCACAGTTTCATTTATGTTATTGTTTTGTTGTCAATGGGTAGATTTTAAATCCTTTGAACGTAATGAAAGAACTGGAGTTGAGTGGAATTTGTTGCTAGATTTGCTTATATGATATGGTGTTATTGGTTTATATTAGTACACCTCGATTAAGCCCTTGGGTGATAGAGTTTTGGTGAAGATCAAAGAAGCAGAGCAGAAGACCGAGGGCGGGATTTTGCTTCCGACGATGGCTCAATCGAAACCTCAAGGAGGTGAAGTGGTTGCCGTTGGTGAGGGGAAGACAATCGGGAAGACCATATTGGAAAGCTCTGTTAAGGTGGATTTCAAGGAATTGACATTATTCCCATTTGTTTTCTCTATCTGTTTCATTGTTATTTGCTTACCAAATCCGATGTTCGTATAGACTGGTGCCCAGGTTATATACTCCAAGTATGCCGGAACTGAGGTCGAGTTCAATGGTTCAAATCATCTTATCTTGAAGGAGGATGACATTGTTGGGGTTCTTGAAACTGATGACATTAAAGACGTCAAGCCTCTAAATGACAGAGTTTTCATTAAGGTTTATTATCCTTTCGAAGTCCATCAATTTGGTTGCTATTTCATTGTAGTGTCTCTGTAGGAGTTTGCTACCGGGGATCCTTATTCACGGATGCCAGTGGTGGATTGTACTTTGAAGGGCACTCAATGTTGTGTTCAAATGTCGATTGTTGCAGGTAGCAGAAGCTGAGGAGAAAACCGCTGGCGGTTTGTTGTTGACCGAGGCAAGCAGAGAAAAACCTTCCATTGGCACGGTGAGTAAAAGTTGTACGTTTGCCATCCGAACATGGTTCAAAATAAATATTTCAACTCATGCCCCGAACGAAATGAAACAGGCTATTGCCGTTGGATCTGGTACTTTGGACGAGGAAGGTAACCGAAAGCAGCTGTCTGTTGCGGCGGGGAACATAGTTTTATATTCGAAGTATGCTGGTAATGACTTAAAAGGCAATGATGGAACTAATTATATCGCTCTCAGAGCATCTGATGTAATGGCTGTGCTTTCTTAGTTGTCTCTGTTAAGGTATGCTGTGAGGTTTACAAACTGCAATTTATTATGGTTGAGTTGCCATAAGGCACAAGGATTTTGTCCCTTGAAATGAATTTTCATTGTTTCTGTTTACTTTATGAATATTGCATGAATATATTCATTTCTGGAGCAACATGAGCAAAACTTGATGCTGATAATGTCGAGATTATCCCTAAATAAGGTTATATATTATACAAGATTCTTCTGCCAAGATTTCATGGCAGTGGTTTCAAAATTGAACACCTCTGGGAATTTTACCTGTTAAATGAAGCAGCTGATGTATCATCATAATGTCCTCTCCATGCATTTCCACTATCAATCTCGCTGCAAGCTTGATTCAGAACCGCCGTGTTACCGAGATCTCCGTCCAAGCTCATCTGCTGTACTTCCGTGGATGATAGTATTTTTATGCTCTGAACACAACTTACAAATTCTCTGCAAAGAATTAGAAGTTTCAAAGTCGAGAATAAATAGAGAGACCAAAAATTTGACATTTGAAGTTCAATTTTGGGTTCTTCACTTACTCCCATGGGTCATCACCAACAAGTAATATGTCGTTTTCATGATCCACGTAAACTAGTTTCCACTCGGAACTTTGTGTGTCTTCCATCTGCCCCTCGATGCCGAACATGCGGGCTAGATCATGCCTGAGTTCATCGTACCCTTTGTAGCGGGTTACATCGATTGATCTCCCAACAGAGCCACGCTTTTGCACCTTCACAAGTTCAAACCAGCACCAAACATTTAGAGCTTATACTAAAGACATCGGAACCTACTAAAACTATAAAACTGCCTCGCGACATATAAATATGAGCTTTTTCTTCAAGGAAATTAAAATGTATTGAGAATAAATGAGGTAACTAGCATAAAACCATAATGAGTGAGGTTACATACCTTTGTATATGTTCGCATCCGTTGAGTTTGGTTGGCCCACAATCCGCCATTTAAAACCCCTGCATCATTTATGGCAACGTCATTTGAACACCCAGTCTTGAACGGTATGTTTGGCACACCAAACGACTGAGGACTTATTGCAGCAGTAGACATCTCTGTGTCAATATCTCTTGGATTGCCACTATAATTAGAAAGCAGGTTTTGAAGATCCTTTTGAGAGTCATATCCCCTTGATAACAAAGTGTCGGGTGCTAGTTCATCAATATTAGGTGTAAATGGCAGATTGTTCCGAGGATGTGATTGGACATCACCTTTCAGAAAGGTAGGCAGGGAGAAATTATGCTGGATGGTGCCTGCATCTAGGCAGTACGATGTTCCAGAAGAGGATGCCTCTAATTGGTCTGGTACAGTACTTTTGTACTTCAATTGTTCTGGACCTTTAGAGGCAGGTAGGTCATGTTTGATTTGGATGTCGGGCTTGCTCTGAAGCTCCTGAACCAGTGTACTTGATGGCTCAACAACTGGATCTGTCACCAATATGGGCGGTACTTGTTGACTTCTGCTTAGAAAGCTTGATGGTGAAACCTGACAATTATTGGTCGAAGGTAAGGTTGAACATGATGGAGCGTCTCCATCTGTAAGACTAGAATGGGTTCTCATTGCCATAAGTGGTTTGTTCTGACTCGGGGGTTGGCTCACCATAGGCTGTTGAGGGTGAATGAGCACTGATGTTGAGAAGCCATTGCTGCCAAGTGTTTGTGGAGTCTGAGAAAGAGGCAACTGCTGCAATGGTTGGTTTCGTTGCTGCATCATTGGAGATTGCAACTGTGATCCAGTAGGTGAGAGTAATTGGTGAGACGACTGCTGCTGTTGCTGCAATTTCTGTACTAGTTGAAATTGAAGCTGTTGCTCTGAGGGGAGGCCCTGCTGTCCCATTTGATGATGTGGTTGCTGTTGTGATATCTGGGACAGACTTTGCGGCAATTGTGTCTGTTGCTGTTGGCTCTGTACGAGGTTTGGTTGCTGTTCCATCTGTTGCTGAATCTGTGTATCTTGAGGTAAAGACGTCAAAGGATATGAAGTCTTATTAACAGAAAGGATAGTTTGAGTTAACTGGCAATTGCTTGTCAGTAATTGTTGTTGTTGCTGCTGTGGTTGTTGTCTTTGTTGTTGTTGCTGCTGCTGCGGTGGTTGTGGTTGTTGACTTTGTTGTTGTTGTTGCTGCTGTAGGGATGACTGAGGATGCTGTTGTAGATGTGACTGTGGCGGTTGTCGCTGCAACTGCTGTTGGGATAGTAGCTGCTGTTGATTTTGATTTACAGGAGTTTGCAATAACTGCTGGAGTTGCTGCTGCTGGGGCCATGTCATAGGTGCCTGAGGCCACTGGTTGACTTGGTTCGGATTTACTTTGTTAAATTGCATATTCGATGAAGGTAATGCCGGAGCTTGAAAATTCAATAACTTGGAAGGATCATCAGTGATAAGGTTATTTTGCAACGGATTCGAAGAAACCATAGAAGGAATGAGTCCTGATTGAGCAGCCGCAAACTGATTATTTTGTTGCATGTTCATCCACTGAACTAAACTCAGACCAGGAAAGATTGAAGTAGGGGAATCTTTCATGCCAAAGTCATCTCCGAGCCAGGGCATAGCTCTCTTGATAGCATCCTCAACATCACCGTCCTTATCTGCAAAAGTATCTTCAAAATATTGGAACTAAGTTCTTTGATTTTCCTGTTATTTGTCCTTGTTTTTATAGCAAAATACACCTGGTAATATTGTTTACCTGGCATCCCTGGTTGCTTGGGGAACCTAGGCCTGAAAAATGGTGGCGGGCATATGTAGAAAGGAGTTACGACGGGCTCAATATCCCATATTGAAACTCGACTAGGCCGTTCACCAGAAGTAGATTCGTCCCAGCCTACCTGTTGATATGCATATGTATTTGAGCCGTGTAATTAACAGATACAACAGATGAACTTGCAATCTGTATCATAATAATGTATTTTCCACCTAAATCATGCCAGCCATTTTCAGAAATAGAAGTGCAAAATAAAAATGAACACTTGCATTCATACTATCATAACGTCCAAAGAATACCTGAAGATTGCGCCACTGTGAATTCTTCCATCGGACAGGATCGAGGTCACTGATACCAGTAACCGTGCCCATGTATTTGCGCACACCAGACTCCTCAGTTTCAAACATCATTCGAAACCGCATGCCAAGAGAAACTTGGGTATACATGGCTTTGTTATACTTTGCCAAGGGGACCACAAACTCAGAAGGACTTGCCCTATCAAAATTAATAAAATCTATTCAGCATATCAACATCTTTGTACTTAAAAAAAAAACGGGGAAAATGATATGAATATGATAACAATGAATTAAAGGACAAATCAAGATATGTTATAGGCAGCAATACCTTGGATTGTAGAATATAGTAAATGGGCTGTTATTTGCAGCAGCATGAGCCGCAGCAGCAAGGATCCCGATATGCATGCTATCACTAGAAATAACCGATGAAGAGAGAGCTGGCTGCTGTCTATTAGCCCGCCTTATACCCAAGAGAAACTCGGACTTCTCGTCTCTACATTTAAGCAAAGAGTTCCAGTTAAGCAGAGCATGAAAAGATGTACATACTTGATACGTGTCTGTATATATGTATGCGTGTGAACCATACCTTATGAAAAGAACAGAATCACCAGCAAAAAGTCTTTTGTTGCTAACAAAGACACTCCAACCAGTTGTTAGAAGGTGCCTCTTTGGCTGACCTGCAAAGAAGCCATTATGCATTGGAATATATTATTTCATTTCCACCTATGATATTAAAAACAGAAACCAACACAATACAGTGAACAGAATGATATGACTGGAGTCAAGCATTATTAAGTAAAATTGTGAACGATGAATTCCTTTACCCTCAAACTGTTTTGTGCAGGAAGGATATTATTGGACATATATTTCAAAGAACATTAATAAAATGCAAGTAATGATGCCTTGCAGCATAAAACACGTAGACAAATACCTCGATAAATATGTCTGAATGTCCATGTATTCTCATGTAAATCTCTGGCTACTAACTCTTGACAAGGTGGTTGCATTGAAAAATCCTACCAGACATCATCATTTTAGTCTCGATAAAAGTAGGCACAACATGCTTACTTCACACCACTCAAGTCCTAAAATAGAAATATCGATATATCGGAAATTTGTACACACCAGAGGAGGGAAGATCTTCTCAGCTGCTCTACGAGGCACAGAAAATCCACCATGAGTGCTAGTGTCACTAGCCGTAAGAGTCTTGCAAAAGAACTCAGCAGGTTGTCTACTTTGCTTGAGGCCCATATCAGATGCCAGTAATGCTTCCCTGTCATACTGTGGAATACTACTTTAAAATTCTTCCCAAAGTTCAGGAACAAAAAAGGAGGCAGTTTCTGCGTTATATATTAATTCTCAAATGGACTGGTTGACCTACTTTGCTTACAGGTTGAAGAGTCAATTGAGCGTAGACCTCATCGGTTTCTGGATCAGCCTGATTCAAAATTTAAATTATCGAATAAATTAACAGCTTCAAAAAACCTTATAACTTGCATTTTTAAATCATTTCTAACTGTTACAAAGTTATCTACACCATCCGCGGAAGCACATAGATGCACCAAGTACCTAAGCCATCAATGATTAGCTTAAAGGAAAGCAATATTGTCAATCAAATAGTGCAGCATGTAGCTGTGCACATATATCTTGGGATAAATGCACAAAATTCATTTAGGAACAACCGATTGCCCTTAAATGGCTTAAAGAAAAAAGAAACTCGGGATAACAGTGGCGAGCTTTTGCTTACATGCAAGGTGACATTATGTAGCATGCAAATTAACTTGGAAGGAAGGTTAGGGTAGCTTGGAACGAAATCAGTTTCCTTCTGCATCGATGCTGCGACCTGACAAGAAAATACATATTAATTAGAAAAAGAATATTTCGTAAAAGACCAGATTCAGAAACAATTATTCCATAGGAATGAATGAGGAAAGCGACACACTTGCTCGCTATGGCCTTGAGGAAAGTATACCACCAAGCTTCCAACTGGCGGCAAAGAAACAAGTGGTCCAGCGCAAGCATGCCATAATTCTGAATTGATACTCTTCCTTTCTCCTGCATTACCAAAACCAACCAGAATATTATCAAACATCCAAAAAAAATCATACGAGAAGAAAAAAAGTAAAAAATAATTAAAAGCTTCATCTACCAAAAGATTCAAAATATCCATACCCTTCAAATTTTTGAACCATAGACAAGTTGAGAATTTACTTTATAGATTTATAGACTCAAAGCAAGAAATCCCCAATTCCATTGTGTACGAATTATTAATTCTACTTTTTCCAGGTTGCCATTTCATTAAAGAAAAGAAGAAGAAGAAGAAGTTATCATGAATATTCTTATATAATTAAGACTTTGCTCTTTGCTCCTTGTTTAACCTCTAATTTGCAAATGATAAATGATCCCAAACCCAAATCTTTCCCACTAAAAAAGGGGAAACTTGACATTAATTTCGGTTACAACCAGGGACGGAGGGATTGTCTTATCTTAGGAGTTAAACATATAAAATTTTAAAGGAACAAACTAATAAAATTCCATTGGACGAATATTAATAATAATATATATATATATATATATATATATATATATATATATATATACGAAAATTTAAAAATTTCATGGGTGACTAAAATAACCTACAATAACTTCACCTTCTTGTCTTATTGCTAGCTTCTTTCCATTTTCTGGAGATGGAATATATATATGAAGCATTAAATGACACCAAACAAGAAACTATTTTTTTTGAACCAACAACAATTTAGAGGGGATCTAGATAAGGTAGGAAAAATCCACCAAGAACTAAATGTATGCTAATAATTAAGTATAAATCTTTCAATACTCAAATCAAATAAAGGAAATCAAACCTTCAGCAGGATTTGCCAAAAACTCATTTGGTTGAGCCTTCATGCTTCTTCCAAATTTGTATCAATTAAGAAAATAACTTGTTTAGCTCCAACAAATGGTGAAAAAGAGATCAACTCTATGAGGAAAAGCCACCTCCGCCTCCGCTGCTGCTATTTTCATTCACATTCAATAATTCCCCAACAAATAAACAAATCCCTAAATTGTAAATACCGGAAACTTATAGTTCATTTCGGAGCTAAATTTCTTCTCTTCATTAGCTTCGTGACAAGCTCTTGAATCGTTCTGGTGTTCTAATCGCACGAAGCATTTCCTTATCCAACCGGTTCCGATGAGACGAGCTAACTGGACGGAGTGTTGACCGCCGGTGACTTGAAACTCGTCGTTTTGGGTCCAGAATCAGACGAGAAAAAAATCAAAAAAAAAACTTTATGAGATCAAGGACAATGAAACACAGACTTGTCGCCGGGAAATCAGAGAGACAAAACCAAAGAAAAACAAAACAAAAGCAGCTCTTTTACCATTTCTCTTTACTTTCTCTGTTTTCTTTTAATATTAATATAATAGACTGAGGCGATCAGGCCTGTAAATAAATAAATGAGATGAAGAAGATAAAGTTTTGGATTAACTCTACTATACATCATTAAATTCTAATTTATATTACAAATTGGTCCATAAATTTTAGAACATCTCAATCGAATTAAAATCTTTAAAATATCAATATTATATCAATCAAATTACTCTAAAAGTGTAACCCTTTATATTAAGGGTTAAATAATGATTTAGATCTAATATAATATATATTCAAATATTTAATCAAATTTTAAACATGTAAATGCATATTGTTCATACAATAAGTACATACATCTTAATATAGTCCACAGTCTACATTGAATCCGAACTAAAATATAATACTGGAGAATTAAATTGATATGATATTATTACTCTACAAATTTATTTAAAATGTCATTAAAATTTGAGATCAATTTAAAATATAATTAACGTGCAAGGATCTGTGATGTAATTAGTCGTTTTAATTTGATTTAACCGTTGCGCGTGCGATTGCACGCGTGATGTAATGCAATTAGCGGAAAGTTAAATTGGCACCAAAATTTGGGAGATGCGCGCGTGGACTTCACGATTGGTGTAATGCAATTGACGGAAGTTAAAGAACTGGGAGATGCGCGCGTGCGGCGCGGTGGACGTGCGTAAGGCGCTGTCGTTTATGTAGAGTAAAAGGAAAAATAAAAAACTTCGCAGTGATTTTTTTTAAAAATCTATTAACTTTTTATGTAATCTTTTTACTTTGGTTGACGGAGATTATGATCATAATTTTTTTGTTTCATGAGATTATGATCTTATGTGTCATGTATATAGGGATGTTAATGATTGTATTGAGTTTATTTATAAATATAAATATATTGAATATATTTTTGTTTGAATTAACTATTTTAATAAAAAAAATATATAAATGTTTTGTTTTTATTTATTTATTTAATTTAATAAATGAATAATATATCATGTCTATTGCATTTAGTTTGTTGACATCGTTATTCGTACAATATATATGAGAATGTATAATCGAACATGCTTAAGCGTTTAATATCATCCAATTATTCGACGTAGAAAGATTTAAGTAGTCAACGTCAACAATTAGTTTGTTCAGTGAAATTCAACATTAAATTCTTTAAATAATATTAGATGTTCGAATATTGACATTGTGCATAGAGTAAATTTGATTAGGAGGGCCACCCCATAATAAGTCTATGTAGTACTTGATTAGATTAATCAATCAATAAAGTAAATACTGATAATTAATCTAATATATATAACCCTAATGTATTAGCTTCCCTTGTCTATGTGGGTCAAATTTTAATTTGACGTTAGTGTTATATGTTTAATGTACAATTAGCACATGATAGTTATCTTATACAATTTACATATCTCTTGCTACGGATAACACATTAATTACTATTATGCTTTCATCATATGCATGTTTGTAGAGTTCTATATAAAGTAAATGATTAATGACTTGTCATTAATGGGAAGGGATCAAGAGAAATAATAATAATAATTTTGTTATTTTACTTCTTAATTGACATTGTTATTTTGTTATTTAAAGTTCGATTTTGATATATTTAGATAATAAAAATAAATTTTCAAATCAACAAACTTAAAATATTAATTTTTATTATCCTATCATTTTTATTTTTATATAATATTTAAATTATTTATAATTATTTCAAACTCTTACTTGAAGACAATTACAATTAAATAAATTTAAATATTAAATTCTGATAAAGTGATAATCAAATTCAGCTTTAAACAATATATAAATTAAATCAATTAATATTAATACTATTATTAATAATAAAAATAATAATATATTTCTTGAATAGTTGATAGATACTTGTAAGACTTTGAATTCTTGGGGGAACATTGACAAATCCCCTTCATAAAGATTCCTTTCACAACTCTTCCTCAAAGGGTAGAATTATATTCAATTTGGCTTTTAACTTAAATCAAATATATATATATATATATATATATATATATATAGTTCTACACAAATTTAAGATTATTTGACGAGTGAAAATAGACGATTGAGATTAACTGTACAAAATGAAAAGATATTCACTGGAAAAAATAGGAGTTCACCTTAGTCATCTATTTAGATTCATCCAATGATCTTAAATCTGTGTAAAACTAAAAGAGTTTTACCCTAAGTAAGTGGATCCTAACCCATATAGGGATATGATATTGTTACACAATGTAAAACTCTTTTAGTTTTACATAGATTTAGGACCGTTGGATGAGTAGAAATAGATAGTTGAGATTAATAGTAGGAAATGAGAAGATATTCACTTGAAAAAAATACAAAGAATCAATTTCAACTATCTATTTTCACTCATCCAGCGGTCCTAAATTTATGTAAGACTCTCTCTCTCTCTCTATCTCTCTCTCTCTCTCTATATATATATAACATTAGGAATGATAATTTGATTCAAATTTGATGAGTTTTGATATGATTTTATAAGATCATTTTTTAGATAAAAAAAATCGAGTTGGGTTTGTGAAGTATGAGGCCCTGTTTGGGTTTAAGATGAAATACTCGACCTGAATCGAGATAATAATATAAAAATGAAATACCCCTGTATATATTCATTTAGGTCCTTATTTTATGGAATAAAAAAATCATATTCTAGTCGAATATGATTTTTATTCTAGATTTTTAGGTCACGTGATTTTTTTTTAAATTCGAATCAAATCGGATGCCAAGTGAGAGGTTACTAGGGTCAAGTTTGAAACGATCAAAAATTGATTCAACTCGATTCATTGACATCCCTAAACATGATATTGTCATATTATGGAAAACTTTTTAACTTTACATTTATTATATATCATTTGATAAATGTAAATTAATATATAAGATTCATAATTGAAGATCAAAACATTTTTATGATTAAAAAAAGTATGAAAGTATACAATTTTAATCTTAATCATTTACTTATATTCATCTAATAATTTTAAATTAGTGTATAATATGAATATAGATCTTCTCCTGACCAATTTTGGAAACAAAAGAATTTATTTTTTTGAAATAATCTAGAATGATTACAAGATATTATATATGTTTAGAATTTTTTTTGTATATTGATAACATACATACACCCTGTTAATACAATTGGTCAAATCTAAAACTTTTAAAAATAACATAATCCACTTTAATAACAGAGACCAATTAATGGATTCAAATAAAAGAATTTATATGTATATATAGTGTTGGTAATATGATAACATGGGAAACTATGGATGAAGTGAGAGGCAGCCATTGGAACCACGGTGGCACCGTCAAGTCCATGTGAAGCGGTGCAGCTTTTGTCGGGCCAACCAGTTCCATCTCCGACCAGTGTCCGGGCTTCTGGTCTGATTTGGCTTATATATATATATATATACATATTCAAATTAATATATATTTTATTTTTTTATTTTCAATTAACAAATTATTTTTATTATTTAAAATTTTATAAATTCGTTCTTGTTTAAAATTTTAGAAGTTCTTTTTGATATATAAAATTTTACGTATGTCGAATATATACGTAGGTGTTGGTTATGAGGTCAACATATCATCTGTTATCATACAGAGGTGTTGGTCCGGTACCTGTCAAGTTACTTGCATGGTGGAGCGAGCTAGCCTGTAGTTGTTCGCCATAAAAGCTTTAGTCACGTACCAACTTGTAAATGAACCGAACTTAAAACTGGAACAAGTGAACTTCTATTTTGATTTTTTATATATTTGATTTGTGTTTATTTTATTTATATGCACGTATATTTTTTTATTAGTTTAACTTATACGTAAAGATAAAAATTGTATCTAGTATTTGACTAAATAATTATTTTGAATTATATTCTAGTTTTAGTACTTTGTACTTGAATGTTTTATTTTCAATAAAATGATCCTTAATTAATTAGATGAACACTATTAATTGACTCACGACCAATGGTTAATGCTCTTCGTAGATGTGGCAAGAACTATGTGTCTAAAGTTCTAATGTGGCACATGTCACATGAATGCATGATGATGTGACATATATTATGTGTCTAAAGTGATGATATAAAACATGTCACCTGTACATGAATGATGACATGACACATATTACATATTCAAAATAATAATGTGAGATGATATGTCATATACACAAACTTTGTCCCAACAATAAGAACACTGACCGTTAGTTAATTGATGATTTTCATTCACCCACATACTATTTTAGCCTAAATTAAAATGTTTAGAGGCAAAGTGTTCCAAAAAAAATGACTATTTTATGGAACATTAAAAATATTTTTTGACGCTATATCTTAAAATTAGATTAATATATTTTCAGTTTATATATTTATTTAAACATATGCACATACAATCTTTATATATGCATTATGAGTGAGGCCCTAATAGCACCTTTGTTGGCTCCCAAAAATGGAGGCAATCGCATGCATATTTCAGGCATTATCTATTATGAACTTTCACCATCGATATTGCGAGACTAATCTTTCATCGTTAAGACTTGAAAGTGCGATTAATTATATTTAATCATACTTTTTTATATTGTCTAAATGTTTGTCTAAAAGTGTCTGATACTAATATATTCGATTTTAAAGTATATCAATAAATTTTAATGATTTTAAAATGATAAATAGAGAATATGTCTTAGTTTTAAGAATTACGAGAAAGAATCATCTAATAGAGATGAAATTTTTTGAAAGTCTCTATAATTTTTGGAGTTTATGTTAAATAAATGTATTTTGTTGGGATATCAGAAGAGTTTTAGGATACATCATATTTTAGTATACATGAGATATCATGCATTTGTATTATTTTTTATATATACATTTATAATGAATTATTTATAATGAATTATTGTTTTTTTCGTTTGTTTGTGGGGTAGACAAAACTAGACTACATTGAATCACACTCCTCTTGTGTGTGATATTTTCTATGCTTATCTCACTTTGTCATTTTTCCACTTA